TAGTGCTACTGTAGGCATGTGGTTCCAATTTGATGTAAGAAAATAGTTATTCCTAAAGTTCATGGTTTCCTTGTGGAAAATGTAGAATCCTGGTAGATTATACAACCATAGGGTACAAAACCAGTAACTCTAAAACCTCTGTATTTTATTTGAGCAGAATGACTTGTCACTGCTATTTTCCTGGTTATTCCCTCATCTCAGTTGAAAAATCAGATATTGGAGCAGTTTGAGATAACAACATAGAGAATGACTGCTTGTTTTGGGAGGAACAAATAAGAACACTTAATGAGAATACAGACAAATGCATCATAACATTAGTTGTAAATTATTAGAGAAGAGTCAGCAGTGTGCTAATAAGTGGTCAAGACATAAATATTGTATTCTTTAGGCTTTACAAATATAAATTTAGGCAATAAGTTACTTAAAAAAAAAACCAGAACAATACGAACAAGGAGGTGCTTAATCTCTTCAGCCCAAATTTTTTAATATGTGGTCACCTTTGTGTCTTTAAATGCTACAGAAATTAAATGTAGAACACTTGAAAGTCACTCAGGTCATTTTTTTATAGTCCTAGAATTAAATAACTGTCTAGAAATGTTTTTAGGTGTATCCCCAAGTAAGTTCATTTCTTTGTATGGCACCAGTCCAGCTCTTGTCACAGCATTTCTTGTTAACTTTTTCAATTAAGTGCTTGTAACAATGGTTATACATTAGAACCTCCTGATGTATTTTCTTTTTTCTTTTTTTAATGAAGTATAATTGATATATAGTCTTATATTAATTCAAGTATACAATGCAGTGGTTCAACAGTTGCCTATATTATTAAATAGTCATCCAAACTAATGTAGTTACTGTCAACATAGAAAAATGTTACAGAATCATTATCTATATTGTCCATGCTGGTCTACTGTCTCTGTGACCAAATTATATTAAAGTTGAGAACTTTTGTGCACCTTTATCCACCTCACCCTACCCAGTTACCCACCTACCCAGCTTCCTGCCATGGTAACCACTTGTCACTTCTCAGTGTCTATGAGCCTACTGCTGTACTGTTAGTTGTTTTGCTTTGTTTTTATATTCCACAAATAAATGGAATCATGTGATATTTGTCTTTTTCTGCTGGACTAATTTTACATAGCATAATACCGTCTCGGTACTTCATGTTGTCACAAATGTTAGGATTTCTTTCCTTTTTATGGCTGAATGATATTCCACTGTGTGTACGTACCATATCTTCTTTATCCATTCAGCTACTGATGGACGCATAGGTTGCTTCCATACTTGGTTATTGTAAATAAACATGGTGGTGCATATATCTTTTCAAATCAGGGGTTTTATTTTCTTTGGGTAAATTCCTAGAAGTGGAATTACTGTTTCAAATGGTATTCCTATTGTTAGTGTTTTGTGGAACCTCTATACTGCTTTCCATAGTGGTTTTACCAATTGACATTCCCATTAACAGTGTAGGAAGGTTACCATTTCTCCACATCCTCACCAACATTTGTTATTTCTTGTCTTTTGAATACTGGCCATTCTAACTGATGTGAAGTGATAACTCATTGTGGTTTTGATTTGCATTTCCCTGATGATTAGCCATGCAGAGAATCTTTTCATATTCCTATTAGCCATCTGTATTTCTTCTTTGGCAAAATGTCTGTTCTGATCCTGTGCTCATTTTTAATTAGGTTATTTAGGTATTTTTGGTGTTAATTCAAAGAGTTTTATATATTTTAGATGTTAACCCATTATCGGATAAATGGTTTACAAATATATTCTCACATGCTGTAGGTTGCATTTTTATTCTGCTGATAGTGTCCTTTGCTGTATGGAAGCTTTTTAGTTTGATATTTTCCCACTTGTTCATTTTTCATTTTGTTTTCCTTGCCTGAGGAGATGTGTCCAGGAAAAACTTGTCATGCTTATGTTCAAGAGATTTTTGTCTGTGTTTTCTTCTAAGAGTTTTATGGTTTCATGTTTTACATTTAGGTCTTTAATTCATTTCAAGTTTACTTTTGTGTATGGAATTAGACAATAACCCAGTTTCATTCTCTTGTGTGTATCTGCCCAGTTTTCCCAACACTAGTTATTGAAGAGACTGTCTATTCCCCAGTGTATATTCATGGCTCCCTTATCATATATTAATTGACCATATATGTGGGTTTATATCAGGGCTTTCTGTTCTGTTCCATTGATCTGCAGGTCTGTTCTTGTGTCAGTACCATGCTGTTTTGATTATTTTAGCTTTGTAGTATAGCTTGAAATCAGGTAGCATAATACCCCCAGCTTTATTCTTCTTTCTCAGAATTCCTTTGGCTGTTCAGGGTTTTTTGTGTTTCCATATGAATTTTAGAACTTTTTGTTTTAGTTCATTGAAAACTACTGTTGGTATTTTGATAGGGACTGCATTGAATCTGTAAGTTGTTTTGGACAGAATGACCATTTTGACAATATTAATTCTTCCTATGGGATGGATTTCCATTATTTGTGTCTTCTTTAATTTCTCTCCTGAGTGTCTTATAGTTTTCAGAATACAAGTCTTTCACTTATTTGGTTAGGTTGGTTAGTATTTTATTCTTTATGATTCAATTGCAAATGGAATTGTTTACCTGGTATCTCTATCCCCTAGTTTGATGTTAGTATATAGGAATGCAACAGACTTCTGTGTCTTAATTTTGTACCCTGCAACTTTGCTGAATCCAGTTATTAGTTCTTATAGCTTTTTTTTTTTTGGTGAAATCTTTTGGGTTTTCTATATATACTATCATGTCATCCACAACAGTGACAGTTTTACTTCTTCCTTACCAGTTTGAATGCATTTTATCTCTTTATCTTGTCTGATTGCCATGGTAGGATCTCCAGTACTATGTTGAATAAAAGTGGTGAAAGTGGACATCCTTGTCAAAGAAATCCTTGACATTCTGGATTTTAGAGGAAAAACTTTTAGCTTTTCATACAGTGTGATGTTTGCTGTGGGTTTTCCATATATGGTCTTTATTATGTTGAGGTATGTATCCTCTATACCCATTTTGTTGAGAGTTTTTATTATGAATGGATGTTGAATTTTGTCAAATGTTCTTTCAGCACCTATTGGAATGACCACGTAATTTTTGTCCTTTTTGTTACTGTGGTGTGTGTTGATTGATTTACAAATATTTCACCTCTTGCAACACTGTAATAAGTCTCACTTGGTCATGAAATATGATCCTTTCGATGTATTTTTGAGTTTGGTTTGCTACTTTTTTGTTCTGGATTTTTGCATCTATGTTCATCAAGGATATTGGTGTATAATTTTCTTTTTTTATGGTGTCTTTGTGTGGTTTTAGTATTAGAGTGATGTTAGCTTTGTAGAATGAGTTTGGAAGTATTCCCTTCTCTTCTTTTTGGAATACTTGAAGAAGGATGGGCATTAGCTCTTTAAATGTTTGGTAGTATACAACTGTGAAGTCATCTGGTACTGGGATTTTATTTGCTGGGAGTTTTTTTTATAACCTATTGAATTTTTTACTGGTAATTGGTCTTAGATTTTCTGTTTCTTCCTGGGTCAGTCTTGGAAGGTTCAATTTTTCTAGGATTTTGTATATTTTTTCAGGGTTGTCCAGTTTATTGGCATATAATTTTTCATAGAATTCTCTAACTCTAATAATTCTTTGTATTTCTGTGGTATCCTTTGTGATTATTCCTTCTTCATTCCTGATTTTGTTCATTTGTGTATGCTGTCTTTTTTTGTTGATAAGTCTGGGTAGGGGTTTGTCTGTTTCATTTATCTTCTTGGGGAATGAGCTCTTGGTTTCACTCATTTTTTTCTACTGGTTTATTCCTCTCTCATTTATTTATACTCTTATCTTTATTAAGATCCCCCTTCTACTAACTTGGGTTTCATTTGTTCTTTTTCTAGTTCTTAATTGTGAGTTTAGACTGTTTGTTTGGGATTGTTCTTGCTTCTTGTGATAGGCCTGTATTGCTATGTACTTCCCTGTTAGAAAAACTTTTGTGGCATCCCACAAATATTGGACTGTTGTATATTTGTTTGCATTTGTCTCCATATATTGTTTGATTTCTGTTTTGATTTGTTCATTGATCCATTGATTATTTAGATACATGTCATTTAATTCCCATGTGTTTGTAGGGTTTTGTGGTCTTCGTGTAGTTTATTTATAGTTTCATACCATTGTGGTCTGAGAAGTTGCTTTTTACAATTTCAGTCTTTTTGAATTTATTGAGGGTCTTTTTGTGGCCTCCATTCTGGAGAACATTCCATGTACAGTTGAAACAAATATGTATCCTGATATTTTGGGTGGAATGGGTCTGTAAATATCTGTCAAGTCCATCTGATATAATGTGTTATTCAGAGCTGTTTCCTTTTTTATTTTTTGTCCAATTGATCTGGCCATTTAAGTAAGTGGCCTGTTAAATTCCCCTAATATGAATGAGGTGCAGTTTATTCTCCCCTTTAATTCTGTTAGTATTTGTTTTAGATATTTACGTGCCTTTCTGTTGTATTCATATATATTTATAATTGTTATATTCTCTTGTTGGACTGACCGCTTTATCATTACATAATATGCTTCATTGTCTCTTGTTATTTTCTTCATTTTGAAATCTATTTTGTCTCATATAAGTACTGCTAGTCTTGCTTTTTTCTCCCTGTTATTTGCATGAACTATCTTTTCCCATTCCTTCACTTTCAGTCTGTGTATGTCTTTGAGTCGGAAATGAGTCTCTTGCTGACAGTATATAGGTCTTGTTTCTTTATCCATTCTTCCACCCTATGTCTTTTGGTTGGTGCATTCAGTCCATATATATTTAAGGTAATTATTGATAGGTATATACTTATTGCCATTTTATTAATTGTTTTCTTGTTTGTTTTTTAGTTCTCCATTCCTTTCTTCCTCCTTTATACTTTTATTATTTAAAGGTTATCTTTAGTGTTGTGATTAAATTTCTTTTTTTTATATATGTATCTTTAGGCTTTATGTTTGTGGTTACCATAGGTTTATGGATAAAAATTGGAGTGCTTCACATATTTGCATTTCATCCTTGCACAGGGGCCATGTTAATCTCTGTATCATTCCAATTTTATTGTATATGCTTCCTAAGCAAGCACCTGATGTATTTTCTAAAGCACCATCATCTATACTGCACCCTAGATCAAAACTGAATCAGAATGTTTAGGGACAGTCCCAAGCATGTTATTTATGTAACATTCTTATGTGATCCTAGGGTGCTGCCGGGGTAACAGAGTGGTGAATTAGCTAGTGATTCTTAAACTGGGTAAGCGTTAGAATTAACCTGCAATGTTTGTTAAGAACAAGAAGCTTTTAAGAGCTTGTTAAAGGGAAACTCAGGTTTCTGGTTCAGTAGTTCTGAGTTGGGCCTGGATTTTGCTCTATAAACACCATTAAAAAGACCCTAAGTGGCATTGATGCTACCAATGCAAGAGTCAGCTTTGAAGAGAATGAATTTACCCTGTCCTTTTCACTCAGTGTAGATGAGAATATGACTGGCTAAATTCCTGCATATAAATACTTTGTAATTGATTTTTTTCACCTATCTTCAAGAATTTTCTTTAGCATATTTATATGATAAACAGGCCCCTAAAATCTGATGGCCTGGTTAAAATACTACTTCTATTTAATTTTGGTCATGTTCCTTACTTTCTAAAGCTTCAGTTTCTTCATCTGTGAAATGGATATGATATGTTTGTTTTAAGATTACATCTGAAGATGTATTGACATACAGTAAATATATCATGATTATTACTTTAATAGATAATGATTTTCAACTATCAAAACTTTCTTTTGGTTTAATTGGTTATCAAGTTCTATACTTCTTACTGGTTTAACAAGTAAAGAAATGTATGGTAAGAGTCAGGAAGATAATTTGGGAATACAAATGATCAGGTGATTTTAAAGGACTTACTGAGAGTTTGTATACATGTCATAGTAAAAGCTTCATCTCTAGTCAGAAATCCCTGGGTTTGAGTATGCACCTGAAACTTCTCTAAGTCTGTTTTTTCTTTGTATAATGGTGGTAATAAAAATTCCTACATTTTGGGTTATTGTGATTATAACAGAGCAGATAACACAGGTACTATGATTAGCACAGTCCTCGACATACCATAGGCACTCAAGAAACGTTAGCTATTACTCAACTGAGGGTAATTGATTCCCAAATGCTCCCTTAAATATTAACTCTCTTCCCCCCCACTCCTTTTGAACTGATGTGTTTTTCTGGCTCTTTGAGAGATGTCAGGAAGGAATGTAAATTCTCTAAGGGATATACAACTTTTGAAAAGATATTTATTTACTGTTTCCCCAACACTCTTTCAAATGCAAGATGAAAAAGTAGAGGAGACATAACTTTTCAGACATTAAATAACATCACTGTTCTTTACATGACCAGAATTAAGAGAAGAGCTGTTGAAATTGCTGGTCAATCCTTAGTTTCAGTTTCAGACCTTCAGTTGGGCATTTCTGTCAGTGGACAGCCACTGCCAATCTCTAGTCACAACTCCTGGTTAGGGTGTAGGCAAGTCCTTCATGTACTCTCTGGTGGGGTAAGTGCAGAACCCTCTGTTTCAATAGGAACAACCCCCAAGCACTCTGGACAAAATGTAAACTGATTTTGAGGGAATGCAACAGCTACAACAGTCTTTTTGCTCAAATATATTGATGTGAAGTATTGTTTTCTTCATTTTTCAAGAGAGGATGACTCTATTGTGGATGGCACTAACTCATATTTCCCTAAGTATGGTAAACATTTCACTGGAGACAGGAAATATTTTATAGGTGGTACAGGAACAGATATTCATTTTAATATACTGTATTTATTTTATATATTTAACGTATATGTCAAACAGCACACGTGCTTAGTTTCCCACATACTCTTCTTTAAGGTAAGTTTAAGATATGTAGAAAGCCTAAAATTTCGGTTAAGGAAGTTATTAGATAAACAGTAGTATATGGGACATAAATACAGTAAACTTTTCAGAATTTATGGGTACTTCATTTAAATTTGCCATTAAAATGACTGGTTTTTGCCTGTCAGTTTATGAACTAAGAATCTGTTTAAAGCTATTATATTTTCACATGTTTATTGGAATTTATATTTCAATTTAATTGCCAAATTTCCAGTCTGATTAAGAGCCTGAGGGGAAGCAAAATTAGTATTGGAGAAAAAATAGATTAAGTTTCCCTTGCTTAGGTATAAGTCATGTCAAACTGTATATTTCTTATAGATTAATTGTAAAAGTGTTTTCATTCTTTTTCGTTTTATCAGAGACAAACACTTGCTACTCTATTTCCCCATCCCAGGAAACAGAATGGGGTAATATATGCCACAAGTCTAGTCATAAAAGAAGCTCTTGAAAATAAGGTCTTTTAGATGAATTGGCTGGAACTAAATCAGATAACAAGTAATGGTGATGAAGCCATAAATGGCATCCACATTGTTCCCATGGTTTCCAGGGAATAAAATTCTCCTCATACTACCAATTGAGACTAGTTTATATGTCTGTCCTACTACATGTCTCTGTGGAGTAGTGTATTCTTACTGAATTGCTTCCAACATTTTTCATTCATTCAATACATATTTATTGAGCACCTGTTCTGTGTCAGGCACTCACTGTTCCAGGTGCCGAGGAGGCCGCAGTGAGGCAGTACATTGAAGTCCTTGCCCTCAAGGAAACCAGAGCTCTTTATATAAGCTATACTGTAAATATGATCAACCTCCCATATTAAAATGTGCTTCTTAAATATTGTGATTTTTAAGAGGTTCAGAAGTATTTTTAAACAATTAAAAGGATGAAATATTAGGGAATAGAGTTAGGTAAATATAGTCATAAAATCCAACTAAGCAAGTTTAAAAGTAGGACCATTTTTGAACACAAGAAAGAACTCACATTTAGAAACAGCAAGAAGTAACATTTAGAGCACTCGATGTGCTCTAGACAGTGTGCTCAGTAGTTTATATCCAACATCCTATTTAATCTTCACATCCCCCTTACAAAAATGATACTATATCATCATCTTCATTTTATGGGTGAGGAAACTAAGCTTAGATAATTAAATGTCTTGTCCAATCTAATCCAATCTTGTTTAATAGCATAAGCAAGAAATAAACAAAAACAAAAAGTAAAGCAGTCTGTCTCCCATCTTAGCCACTGTGGAACAGTTTATCCAATCTGGCAGGAGGGAAAAGAGAAGATTTTAACAGGGAGTATAAAAACAAGACAAAAAAAATGGTAGATTTTAGAAAAATTCAGGGATCTTATTTCCACATTTTCATCTGAGTTAGCAATATTTGTTAGAGATACCTTTTTTTTCCCCACAATTCACTGTACACAAACAAAAGTCCTATATCTTTTAGTCATTGCTCAATTGAGGGCATTTATCAGCTTGAATACAAGGGTTACCTACCATCCACATGCCATTAGGTACATGATTCATCAAATGTTAATTCCAGCCATTCCTTTCAAATACATGTTCTTTCTAAGTTTCTGAGAACATGGAATATACATGTTCTTTTTTGAAGCTGGAAAAGTTTATACAAAGAGACACTTGCATTTCTCTTGTCTAAGAATCAAGACTCTTGTAGGGAAAAAGAGAAGAAAAGAAATAGTAATTGCAAAGTGCAATGAAAAATGAATGAAATATACTTTATTCCTATAAAAAAAAGTAATTACGAAGTGGCTTATATGCTTTTTCTCATCTTACTGGGTATCCAGCAGAAAACTGCATTCTGGTATGAGGGGAATGTTGGCATCTGTATTTCTGCTTGTGCAGTCTCCATCTGTTTGTTTTCTTTATGACTTGGGTACTTGTAGAGGTAATCTCCATTGTAGAATTAACAAGTAACCTTGCACTGGAAGATATTTCTGCAATGTGTCTTGAATGGTTGGTCTTCAACCATGGCATGTCCACGAGTGGCTGGGAGTGTTAGGTACTATTCCACTGCCCCTCTTGGGATTTGCTTTCAAATGTGTGGACTTTGAGTCTCTTTTGTGACTCTCCAGAAACTGAGGTTTTGGGACTTAGGCAAATTAGCACATGAAAACTTACAAGGGGGTGTGATACTTCTCTGTCTTCAGATCTCATTATCAAAGATTAAAGTAAATAATAGTTTTCTGGACTGCAAATATTTGTTGAGTGCCACCTATATGCCAAGAAGGGGGGATAGAGTGATCAAAAAGACAGACACAGTCCCAGTTTGGGGGAGGCTCTAATCTAGTGTGAAAGACTAACATGAAATAACTGACTTCATGTTCACATTAACAGCCTAAGTAACCAAGATGTTAGCTATGTCCATAAATGGAGCAAGGACCAATGGTTCTTCTCATTCACCCTAAAGAAGTCACTTGCCCCAAAGCATATATTTTACTAAAAAAGATAAGGGATTTTATCTCACAGGAAACACCATTTCACTGAACATCTGTGCTCAATATATCTTCCCAAGTGTCTGTAGCCACACAGCCACATGTTTCTTCTCTCCACTCTTCTCTAAACCTCTCTAGATCCCATCTTCCATTTCCAGATCTTTCCTTTAGTCTCTTCTTTCTTAGAACAAACTGATTGTGTCTTAGCAACTTCCAACTTGCATAGCTACAACTAAAAACTGATTTAACAAGCAAGATACCCACCAATTACCAGGAATTTCTCTCATCAGAAGGCAGGGGAATATTTATATAATAGTTTTTCTTTTCCTCACCTGATTATATGTCTCCACCAATGCAACGTCTTCTTCACCCCTACCCACTACAGTGTCTCCACCTTTTGCCTCATATTTGCTTCACGAAGCACTCACAAAGTGCTGTCAGTCACCAGGTGGTACCCTCCATCTTGTTTTTCTCTTTTAGCCCTGTGTGGTGTTGCCATCTGTTGCAGACACCTTAAATGCCTGCATAGTTGAATGAAGGGGTCTTGGCTCTACCTCCACGATTACAGCAAACTGCCCTCCTTTTAGATGTAGCTTCCACTGCCATAGTCCAGCTGATATTCTTGATCCCTAACAGTGCCACAGCACAGCAGTGGAATATGGTGCCCTCGAATATCAGATATATATTAAGAATATATTCATAGAATATGTGCTGAATTACATTGTGTTCAGTATGCAAGGAAGAGAATGCTTTCCCACCACTCCTTTTGCATATCATTTGTCATATGAATACTAGAAGAGTGCTGGATGGTATTTTTGAGAAATAAACTGTATTTTATTTTAAATTGTCTGATTTTATTTTGGAGCATGGATGATGCTTAAGATATGTAATAGGTGATATGGCACGGGACTAACCATTCAGAATGGATCCAAAGTATAACCTGAACAATCAGGTTGGTGCATACTGGTCATCTTAGCTTAATATTAGCTCTGTGGGAGATCATAACATTAATCCATGAAGGCCATGGGAAGAAGGAGAAGACCAGTCTTAATTATAGATGTGTATTGCTCCTATCCTCTAAATTTAGGAAATGTTTTTTTCCTGTTTCCTTATAGTGAGGTATTGTTAGAGGCATTATAGCTCAGTGAGACATGAATGTGCATTCCAGGGTTAAATGGATTGAGGATCAAATTCCTGCTCTGTGCCATAAGATATAACAGATCTTGGGCAGTTAACCTCTATTTACCACTGTTTTCTTACCTGCAAAATGCAAATAATAATGCATAATTCTGAGAGTGCTGTAAATATATTAAATGAGTAAATTAATTTGCTAAGGGTTAAAAAGTGTTATGCATTATTTTTGCATTATGTTCTTGAGTCTAATTCATTCTTTTAGCATAAGTAAGACACACTCACCAAAAAAATGCAGCTGAACTGTACTACATGAAATGTATTACATGAACTATAGTCATGTAGTAGCCAGATACTACAGAATTAATTAGCTCATTCACTCATTCATTTATTCTTTCATTCCTACAACCAGAGTGGAGAGGTAAGTGCTAGGGAATTGATGATGAAAGACAGGAGATCACTTTATAAGCTCATAGCTAGAGGGGGAGACAGGCCAAAAAAGAAATAATTTAAAAAGGGATATGAGAAGTACTATTATGGAGATCTGAAAAGAAGGGTTATTTTTATAGAAAGAGCCACTTATTTAACCTAGAGAAATTAGGAAAGCTTCACAGAAGACATAACTAAGGCTAGTTCTTTAGACAGATTTAGGGTCATCAAATTTTAATATAAATAGAGTTCCAATATAAATGGTAGTCCTTGTCCCATAGGAAATTTCTGGATGAGCCTAACATTTACTAAGACTGTTGCAGAAATGAGATCAGAATCTTAAGGCATACACTTCCTTATTCCAGAGCTCTGATAATGCAAATGAAATAAAAAGATATAAAGCTTTCAAGATCAAGCTACCTTAGTATTTAATTGAATAGACTTAGTTCTTTAGAACTTCTTTTATAAACTTTTTTGGAGGTGTGGTAGAGGAATTTTTTTAAAATCTCCTGTTCTTGACATTACTTCCTAAATTCTAAAATCTCCTAAACTGCACCATTTCTGAACAATCAGCCATAACCAACAGTACTGTTATTGATTAGGTTCAGGTCCCTGATCGATCATATGGTCTTTAGCATGTCAATAGGGTCCTCAAATGAACCCGGTGTCTTCTCAGCTGAAGTCCCAAAACATGAGTCCACTCTGCATGTCCCTGTGTGTTCTAGTTGCTTAAAGTTGGTCTTGAGACATTTTTTTCTAGATTGACATTAGTACTTCCAATGCCATGTCTTTTTTTGTTTCTTTTTTTCTGAAAAATAAGTCACTTTTTCTCTTACTGTCTCTCTGTACCCTCCCCCATTTTTATTTGCATTCATCCTTCCCTTTCTTAGTTGTCTAATTTTCCCTCAGAAAATTATGTATTATTTCCTTTCATTTGTTCGTATTGGAAAAGTTTACATGAATTAGCACATGTAGATACATATATGCACATGTGCACATGCACAGAAGAACAGATTGTTAACAATCTTGGCTTTTAAAACAATACAGGAGCACTTTAATGGAGACCTCACTACTCAACCATGTGTCTTCTGTCGATTTTCGGCTGTATTTAATTCTTAGCAAGTGCTTATAGGTGTTGATTTTGGACTGTCTTCTTTCCAGGGATAATTTTCAAAGCAAGCAATGTTGGAAAGTGTTCTTGGACAGTCTGTGCTCTGCCAGTCCACTTTGTCCGTTGTGAGGCCTTAAAGACTCAATTGAATGGGCTACCTGTCACATCTGTTTGCCTTTTGGGTACAGAACAAGTATGAAATCACTTTGGTTGTATAAACTGGCTTTTAATCAGTCCTTTATCTTTTAAGTACCATCACCTAACCTGCTTCAGGACTGAATCAGTGCAGCTGGAGTCCTTTTGGAAGCCTTTTGTCTAGCTTGTTGTTTAGGCTTGGAATCAGTTGGCCATAGTTCACATACTGGCACCATCACTTGCTAGGTATGTGAGTTGTGACCTATTAGCTTTCTGTGACTTAGTTTTCCTATCAGTAAAATGGTATTAAACATAATATCTCATCTTAAGTATGTTGGGATAACTAAATGAGATTGTGTATAAGGAGTGATTATTAGCACAGTCCTGGAAAATAGTAGGCTCTTAATAAATGTCACTATTGTTATTGCTAATGGGTAACATATCAGTCAACAGAGAGACATTCAACATCAGGAGGTCCCTATAAAGGCGGTTCAAAGACTATTTCTATGTTTGGTATTACTTGCTTCCATAATATTTCAGATCAGAAAATTATTTGGTATAGAAAGGATGACACATCTCAGCATAAATTTTTCCCCCCAAGTAAATCACATTCTGAATTTGTTTTGCCTTCTCTGTTAACTTTTCCCTACATGCCAATCTCTAACCTTATTGCCCTTTACCCACTGTCCTGCACCCCCAGGACATTAGAGTCAACATCTGTGGCTTCCATTTTCATACTATGACTGCAGTTGAGAAGTTCTATTCCCAAAATCTCCTCCCAATTCTTGATGAAAACCCTTCTTGTCATTCATTTTCTGCACATACTTGGTAAAGATCTAAGTGCTATAACCTTAATTCTATAATTATCACCTGTTCTTTAGGTTTTAGTGATCTCATTGTTTGAATGTTTTACCCTAGATTTGGAAAATTACCTTATGATAATTTTTGTTTCTTGCTTAGTAGAAGCACGTAAATTTCTCCCCTCCAACCCTTTGTTGGCCCATTGGCACACCTGATACATTTATTCTCACATAGTTTTTCTATGCAACCACAGGAGAATTTATGCATTTAATCTACCTTTAAAGTATTAATTAGATGTTAAATATCAACATCCAATATTAAAGCAGTAGCCATAATAACATACCAGTATTAAAGATAGCATAATAACACCAAAGAGGTCCTTGTGAAATGTATGACCACAGGAATTAATAATTCTCAGGTCCCTGTGTTAAATTGGTAACCATACTGTTTTTTTAAAAAGGAAGTTGCTCAATTTATATACACAGAACTACATTCTAGTCAGGCAATCAGTCTCATTTAAAATCCATATCTCAGAAAGTACTTAGATTATTCTATTTAATATGCACATGGTATATTCCTTTGACAAGTTTTGAAATATTTTTCTAATTTGACTCTCCCTGATAATTTTCTCCAACTCCTAAAAGTCTAAGTGAGTAAAAGGAAAGAATACCATCTCTAAAAATGGTTTTTAATACCTTTACCAGAGGCCACAAGAAATTTTTTTAAATTAACAATTATACATATTTATCATTTACTATCAAAAATAATTTTACAGGACACTGTCAATTTTCTTCTTCCACTTCCCCCAATTAAACAGTAACTTTAAAATACGTTGGTAGTTTGCTGAATTTTAGTAGGTCAGCATGCACACCAAAAGTGTATTAAGGTGGACTGCTTTATTTATTGATTTGCAGTGAATCTGCTAAAGACTTGACGCAATTGTCTGCGGAAGGGGCGGGAGGACCATACATGATCGAGGTCATGCGCATCTAGCCAATTTGTAAGACGATCCCGCTGCTCCAAGCCATCAGCAATCCTTCGCAGAGGGGCACACTCATGCATTCCTGTCAAGTCATCTTGTGAAAGGCTGCCTGCTTCCAGCTTGGCTTGGATGTGCAACCTTAATAAAACTCACTGAGGTCTGGGAGAAAATAGCAGATCTGCTGCAGATAGGGTAGAGGAAAGGGTCTAGAATATGTACACGCAGCTGACTCAGGCAGGCTCCACGCTGAATGGTTACACAGAGAGGAAACAATAAATCTCAGCTACTATGCAATAAATATCTCAAGTTTTAACTAAGGAAACTATCATTACAGTGAAATAAAAAAAATAACACTTTAGAACAAAGCTAACAAATGGCTAGTTTTCTCTGATTCTTCTTCAAAAGCTTTCTTTGAAAGGGGAAAAAGTCAAACAAACAAGCAGTTTTACCTGAAATAAAGAACTAATTTAAAGGTCAGAAGAAAGGAGCAAATTTTGCGAGAAGCACGGAGAGAGTTCTGGCAATACAATGACAGTTTTTCTTTCCTTTGCTTTCCTCGCTGCCATTCTGACTCACATAGGGTGCAGCAACCAGCGCCGAAATCCAGAAAACGGTGGGAGAAGATATAACCGGATTCAACATGGGCAGTGTGCCTACACTTTCATTCTTCCAGAACACGACGGGAATTGTCGTGAGAGTACGACAGACCAGTACAACACAAACGCTCTGCAGAGAGATGCTCCACACGTGGAACCGGATTTCTCTTCCCAGAAACTTCAACATCTGGAGCATGTGATGGAAAATTATACTCAGTGGCTGCAAAAAGTAAGTGATTGCTTTCAGTTTCTAATTGCACGGAGCCTTTTCCGTTCTTGCACTGCAGCTAACAGTTCCTTAGGGGCATCTGCGTGTTTACCTTTTGCTTCAGGGGGGCAGTGTTTGCAAATGCAAGACAGCTCCCCCTGTGATTTCATGAGTGAGCCAAGGCTTTTAGGTTTGTGTAAACCTATGAAGGTATGGTGGCACCGCATTTGTGTGCCTAGTCCATGGCACATTTTATGATATTTCTGGTTTTCTTTTATTTACATTTAGCATTGAGTTTTCTGATTTTCTGACTGTCAAAAAAAAGTATGTCTTCAGCAAATTGGTGAAAAAACAAAATAATGATGACAATACTAATTTGGGATCAAATAGATTTTTACATCAGAAAATTCTGTGCAGCTTAGATGAGAAATCATCACCAAATACTTATTTTTTCAACCTCTAGTAAAGTTAACATAAAGTAAGAGTAAATGCAAAGTATCGTATTCGGCTGGAGAAACTGCATAAATATGTAAAGGAAGCTTAATTTCAGCAAGTAGTAGAATAGTAGAGGACAAATTTCTGTCATTATCTTTCATCTGTCCTTGAAAAAAAAATCAGGAGGATAAATTTATAATGTGAATTTATCAGGAAGAGGCTGAGAAATTAAGCCAGTGGTGACTGTTCCCGAAGGTGTGCACCTGCAGATTTGGGCTGAACACAGCATGTAGACTTTGCTTATTGCTGAAATACCTCTTTTCTTAGGACATTGTAGTTACAGACAGTGGCATGTTAAAGTCTAAGTATCCAAATGAATGTTAATGTTGAGAATGCACTTCATTCCAATTTATATAAATCAAGTTGAACATTTTATTCAGTTATTTAAAAGTTTTTGTTGAAAATATGCCTATTAAAATATGAACACACTTTCTGTAGTTCATGCTCTCTGTTTAATTGTGTAACAGGTAAGCAGCAGAAAGCAAGTATATTTAACTATGTCACTAGAGAGGTGGCAATGTTCCCCATTTGTGAAAAGCTTCCTCCCCATCCCACTCTCAGGATCTCAGCTAAAAGTTCACTTGATGCATAAGGTAGGAGCACAACCAGTCCAGTCTTCTTTAAATTATTCTGTTAACAGAACAAATCATTTAAGAAGATAAAAGATAGGAAACGGACAAATGCTCTTTTTTGTTCCTGGGCAGTGACTCACTTAGATCACCGCCTTCTGAATCATGCCCAGTAATGGTTATTCTACTGTCGTCCACTAGGGACTGAACTAAGATCACGGTTACTGTATTTGACAAGTTAACTGGGACTCAGTAATTTTAGAATTTCCAAACTTGGAATTACTAATCTTTCTCTTGTAGATTACAGATGAAAAAAATCAATAGGTAAGCAGAAGAATAGAAAGCAAATAAAATTTTGCAGTCTTTTAATAATTGCAACTTAAATTTTAGGCACTAATTACAGCTGTAGTTTAAAACAGGGTATCTGTTTTTTTCTTTGGCAAAACTTATTTTCATAGTAAACAAATGAATTTAGTTGAATAGCTTATTACTATTCTCAACATACTGTCCAATAGCTTTCAATGAGAATTCAATCACTTTAAATCAGTCTGGATTCTCTGACAGGGTGGGAAGGAAAATTTAGTCACAAATTGTCTTGAAAGAGCTATTATACCGAAAATGTAATATTTTGTTTGCTTAAAACATACAAACTGGTGATTCAAACATAGCAATGCATACTTTTTTGTAGCTATGCAGTTATTCAGCAGTGATAGGGTAAATACATGATTCTGTTGGGCTTAAACCATACATATTTCGTATATTAATTTATTGTGTGAGATATATTTGTTTTTTGTTTGCATTGTTCTTGTTCAATGATTACCGCATAGTTTTCAGACTATAGCCAAGCACAACTAAGAAAATGTTTTTCGTTACACTGACCTTTGTTAGTGTGAATCAAGGTGAATATATACTGAAAATGTCCCTGTTGTTATCAGAGCAGTTTGGCTTGGCTATTGTCTGTTTAAATTTGCATATCTTTTGTCATTGTTAATGTGATTGGTGGGAGGATCAAGAAACCAAATAAATGCATTCAGCAAAGAACTTGCTAAAGGCTCTCACAAGTTTCCCTTAATTAGAGGTTTTTGTCATTGGAAGTTCTAAACATGTAATGTGTTTATTTCAATAATTCACATGGAAATCTTTTTACTGTAACTCTTCAGTAGCTTAACACTGCAATTTGTACTACTTCCATTTTGTTATCTTATTAGAATAAGAAGCAATGCACTGCAGAAGCTGAGGCTATCAGTGTATATACAATTAATTCATCAATTTATTCAATAAAATAATGAGCCAAAGCATGGTGATAATTGTGCAGCTCTTGGCTTTACTGTCAGCAAAATTTTTGTGGCAAGATGTGTGTTATCAATGCTAGATGCAGCTAGATAATTATTTATGTTTATCTATTACCTCCAAGTTTGGTAAACTGGATTCTATTATTTTCCACAAGACAGTGGCTCTTACTAAAAGCCACTTTATGACACTTAAAACTGTGAAATCTTACTTCTTAACTTTTCTGGTCTTCTACTGAATAAGATGAGAAGCAAGGTATGCAAGGGGGCAGAGGATGTGCTGGTCACCACAAGTGCTAAAACTGTTTCGGCACTGGTTTCTTGATGTAATGGATTCAGGTCATGTGGGGGGATTTACTGAATGTATTGAATGAGCAGACAGTTGATAAATATTTTTTTTTAATTCAAGTCACTGAACTTGAAGAAAATACACATGTGTTATTTATGTACAGAGAAAAAAATGGCAGTTGACAACAAATGTTAATTAATTCTTTTAAATCTACTTGTAGAAATGTTCTCACCAACTTTGAGAATAACCCCTGATTTTCAAAACAAGTAGGAAGTTAGTATCTCTGTATTAACTACTCAATGAATAGTTTTTTATTGTTTGTTACATTTTAGAATTGAAAGGCCCAGTAAGGGATAAAAGCCTTACTGGGTCCCAGAAATTGGGCAATTGGAGCTATAACAGCCTTTTGGATTTTCTCTCCCCAAACTGTCTATGATGGCTGATCTCAGGTTTTAGGAGCATGGCAAGTAGGTACTTTTCTGTGTGTGATTGCAGCCCTTCCTTACACCTGACTGTGTCATTTCAGTGAGGCTTCTTTTGTTGTGCCCAAAGTTGCGAATCCCAGAAGACCACCAAGGAGCCAACACTGATGCAAAAGCAAAGAGCCTTTATTCGAGCTAGCTCGAGCTCAATCTCTCATCTGCACCAGTGCAGTGGCAAGATTCTAGAGAAAGAGAGTGAATTTCAAAAGTACAAAGGTTTTATTGGGAATCTAGGGGCAGTTGGTAGGGTGAGAGGTCGTGGCTCTGGTTGATTGGCAGGGTCTAAGGGTGGTTGGTGGGCTTCTTGCTGACTGGTGAGGAGAGAGCCCAAGCTCCGATTGGCTGAGGTAGGATCCAGGTCCCAATTGGCTGGAGTAGGATACGGGTCCTGATTGGCTGAGGTAGGATCCTTGAAATGGCAGCACTTATGCTAAGGGAGGCTCTGAAAATAAAATTAACTTCTGGGGGAAAAAACTAAGTCCCCTTCACTTTTAGTAGCACTCATCTCATGTGTAATTATTGGTTCAGTGTAATTTAAATGAATAAGAATGTGTCATTTTTTTCCTTAAAATCCACCTACAGTTTTCTGTTACATAAGAGTAAAATGCAGATTCCTCACCATGAGGCATTATATGATCAACCCCCATGCTCCTTTCTGAATTCATCATTTGCCACCTTTCCCTCATTCCAGATGGAAAGGCCTTATTATTTCTCCAACAGACCAGTTCTTTTCTATCTCAGGGACCTTACACCCTATTCACTTAGTTAGGAAAATTCTTCCCCTAGTTCTTGGCACGGATCGCTTTCTCTTCATTCAGGTCTTTGCTGAGAAGTCTCTGAAAGACTTCTCTGAGTACCATTACCTACAACCTTCCCCCACCCTGCTAAATGACTTTCTGTTAAGTTATACTGTATTACTTCTTTGTGGCATTTACCACTATGTGACCTTTTATTGTTTGTCACATTATTCTGTCTCCCTCTACATGATAAATATACAAGAGGCCCTGTCTATCTTGTTCCCTGCAGTATACCTTACTCTGAGAAGCACACAGTAGGACCTCAATAAATTTGCAGAATATATTCTCCTAGACCCTATACTCAATGAGATAGACTGTGCCAGTGTTGTTCACTAGATTTTATCTCTAATTTTACTTCTTATTTTTGATAGCAGATCTACTTTTCTAGTGCAATGCCTGGAACCAAGTTGGAAATAATACTTTTTTTCCTTAATGAATAGAGAAATTAATGAATTCCACAGGCAGCTTTAGACTATAATTGAATATATGTATGAAAATGAGACTCAACTATATAACATACACTACCCAGCTAACTATATAATAGAAGGAATTTTAATTAATCTTCTGAGTTTCCATCCTTTATATCAAAGGTCAGCAAAGTATGGCCCTTGGGCTAAATCCGCCTGCCACCTGTAATTGTAAATAAAGTTTTAGTGGAATACAAACACAACCATTCCTTAATATATTGTCTATGCATTTGTAAATCAAATTTTATTGAAACAGAGCCACACCCATTTGTTTAGTATTGTCTATGGCTTGTTTTTCCATACAAAGACAGAATTGAGGAGTTGAAACAAAGAACAAATGGTCCACAAGGCCTAAAATTTAATATCCAGCTCTTTACAGAAAAAATTGACTGATCCCTGTTCTATATCATAGGAGGAATATGGTATTAACATTGGGACCACTGCAAGGTAAGTTGAGAGGTTTGTTACACGGGAAAAGACTGTCCTCCAGGAGGCTGTCATCTTCAGGTCCATGCCAGTTGCCAGAGAGCCTGATGAAGCCATTGCTTGGCTTGGTATTAGGACACGCTGTGTGGTGACATTTTAGAGAAGCACAGGCAGGGAAATTTTGTGTCGTCTCTTTCCCCTGTTCAT